CTGGTCTTGGACCTAGCTTGCAAGTTGCAATTGCCTGATTTAAATGCTTCTGTTATGCTTCTGGTTTTAATCAATGCAAAGTCACAACTCCTGACTTCTGCTTTCCATTCTTCTCTGTGTTCTGTGTAGCAAGGGTGAGGAAACCATTCCTTGCTGAAATCTGTGCAGACTTTTCAGACACCTTACAGTTAGCTAATAATGTAGAAAAAAGGTTACATTCGTGTGATACACCTTGAATGAAGTTGAGTTTACACCCAGTTCTTCTGCATTAGATTTCCCCACCCTTGCTTTAACCAGTGTCCCTAGTCAGTAACACTGTGGTATCCAGGCTGACTTTACCTAAGAGTGTAAGTTAATGAGCTCAGGGGAGGGGTCAGAGATAGTGTCATATTGCCTAATTAATCTAATAGGCTTATGTTATAAAGGATGGAAGGGTGATTTGGTGAGGTAACCTGGATGTAGTTGGGTCTATACGAGTGCTACTTTGTGCCTTAGCCTTTTGTTTGTTCGAGGGATTGTTTTTGCAGGGGTGGATGTGAGCCCTTATATTGTTGGAAGGTGTTTGTTTGAACTATGAAGAGTTAATAACAGTCCTTTTTTTCTAGGAGGAAGAATCTCACAATACACCAACAGCCAACACTCTTCTTGACACCAGCCATCTAGAAACAGACATCTGGTCTGCAATGCCAACGCTTTCCAATGGGAATTCTGAGCCCAGAAGACCCAAAATAACGTTTGATGATGTGTAAGTATTATTGGATCTCTGTGCTAGCTGCATGTTATGTAGTTGGGATTTTCATGGAAGCAGAGCTCACAGTGAAAGAGAGTATCTTTGATTATAACAGTAGTGTTGGGCACCTGTGTGGATAGTGCTGCACAAAGGCACACAGTTTTAATCTTTACAAATGAACCGTTGTCACTGATTAATGAAGACTATGTTGATAAATGTTTTCAGATCATGAATGTTGGTTCACAGTAATTCTTCATTTTTTTATTTTAGCTCCTCTAATGGAAACTTCTCATACTTAATTAGTTTAAAATATTTTTACTTTCCTCCATTCAGCACACATTAATGGGTCCTTTGGGTGGCCAGTTTCTACAGCTAGTTATTTTACATTCTGGTCACCCATCATATCTTTGCATACAGCAGCTTCAGATTAAGATTCAGGTTAAGATTTAAAGAGATAAGTGGGTGTCTATGCCAAAATTGTTCTTGGAAGCAGTCAGCAATTTTCTCAAACAATGTTTGTCCAACTGTATGAAAACAAAGACTTGTAATAATTGATTTTGTCTCTTTAGGCTTCACAATGCGGATTATTACATGCAAGAGGCTAAGAAGCTGAAGCATAAAGCAGATGCATTGGTAAGTTATCACAGGGGGTTTTTATCTCTTTTCACTATGGAGCTGGGTGTTACAAAACCGTACATTCTGAATGTCATCTAAAGCCTCAGAAACCAGGAGGAACCCTGCTATTGACTACAGTATGCTTCAGATTGTACTCCACAAACACACTGTCCAGAACAAGTCAAACCCTGAGCACCATTCCTAGCCTTTAACAATTCATTCCCCAAAAAAGAAGCTCCTTACAATAGCTGGTATCTCTTCCGAGGAGGAGCAACAGTCATGCTGTTTATGAAGGATGTTTCATGAAAGATGATGTGTATTCGCTTTGAGTCTAAAACAAAAATGTTGAAATATTCCATAACAGAAAGTTAAGAAAGGCAAATCACCCTCCACACCATTACCATGTGGTAAAGCTGCTTGGTATTTCCAATCCAATTGTTTAAAATTTGCAACGATTGATTTTGAAATAGTACATGCATTTTTATTGCACACTTTTAGGCTGGTAAATAAAGACCCAACACTCTTCTTCCCAAAAAATCTTGCAATGAGGTAGTTCAATGCTGGGAAAGCTTTTTTTCTCATTTTACCTCAGATGAAATGCCAGTAAGATTGACTTAATTTTGCAAAGTATTTTGATTTTGATAAAACTACTTAATCTGACAGATTATACTCTGTCATAGTCTGTTCAATCTAAGATATTGCTGGCACTGAAGTGCTTTAATAGCTATTTGCTTTGTAGGTAGGGACTTTGCTCCTGTACGCTACATAGAGTGCAGAACAGCAGCTCATTTAGGCAGGCTTAGTGGAATTTAACTCCTCTATTTATTTAAACTAAGATGTCTAAAATGGAGTGTGGCCATCCACTTTGCCCCTCAAAATCACAGCTGAAAAAGAACTAGATGATCATTCACCTCTTGCTTTAATATTTGTGGGGGTTTTGCATGCATGTTATATCATTCCACATCAGAGATTTTGTGCTTGGAAATGTGTTTGTCCAAAAACACACCCCAAAACAATCACATGCTATGTTTTTAAAAAACAAAAGAAACAAAGAAAAAAGAAAGGGGCTCTTCCTCTGCTGTCGGTGAGCTGAAGGAGAGTTGATGTGTCAAGCTGCTGCTTCAGCTCTCCGGGCTCCCTTTTGACTCGGGGCACGGTGTTACCAAGCGTGTTTTCTGTGGGAGGTGGGTTCGGGTTTTTGGCAGCCTGCCGTGACTGTCAGTAAGTTAGCAGTTCTCCCTCCCAACCTGCCCATCCACCTGAGGTGCACTGATTCCTGCAGCCCGACTCAGCAGAGCATGTTCAGCCAGAGCCCTGACATCTGCAGCGGGAGAGGCTGGCAGAAGCAGACTGACAACACCTCCCACAGCTGATTGACCTTTAAAGAAAATACACAGGGCTCTGGCACAGGGCTGCCTGCTCCACGCTAGCAAATATTTACAGGCTCAGGCTCCTGATGATCTCAACATGCTATGTCAATCCACTTCCCTCCACAGCCTGATTCACTCAGAAAGTGTTGACCTGTCTTCCGTCCTCTTACCTTTGACTATGCCTTGCGGAATCAGGGGTGTTTCTCAAGCAGAACTAAGAGGAGCAGGCACAGCACATCGTGCTGCTGCCTGCAGGCAGGCCTTGCCTGTCACATGCAGTTTGACACCCCGAGTGCTCCTATGGGAATGTGAGGCCATCCCCTACGATACAACTTGTTGTCAGACATAAATGCCCACGAACAAAGTATCTGCTTTTTCTTTCCGCTATTTAGGTCTCAACTTTTCTTTTTTTTTTTTTTCCCCGCCCAATACAGCTGCACACAAATTATCTCCATGTAACACATTTGCTGTGCAATCCCGTAGTGTTAGTTGTCCTATGGAAACAATTGCTTCTGGTTACTTGGTGCTGACATGACAAAGCACACACAGCACTGAAAGATGTGTTGCAGGGGCTGGAAAGATAATGCATGTGACCTCAAAATGTGTCAGCAAATGTTAATGAGATTTGTGGCAATGCTGTTCCTGAGCTTGTACGGAAAAGAGATTTCTGGTGAAGGGCAGGGCACTTTGCATCTTATGGGGAGTGACCCCGTGAAAACCTATCCTTGTCTGGGACGGCAGTAAGGAATCAACTAATTTGGATGGGCTGCTGCAGTGGCAACTGACTGTACCATATGGAAGAGATCTTGGAGACCTCGCTGTGTTCTCGGCTGAGCTGTGATGAGCTCTACTCCACTGGAGTCAGCGTGGAGCAAAGAGCAGGATCCCATTTCTGGCTCAAACCCTGTGTCTGTACTAAACCCTCTTGCAGCCAGATTCTCTTTTTTTTTATACTACAAAAAGTCATCTTTGGAAGACTTGAAGCAAGGAATTAGAAGAATACACTGAGAAGTGGCCCCTAGAATAGAGAGAAAACATTTAGAAATATTTCCCCTTTTGTGATCATTCAAGTAATATATATCAGTTATACATAATCAATGCACAAGAGCAGAACTCAAAATTGAAGGCATGCAGAGGCAACTAGTTCTAAAGATTGCTTAGAAGTAGCCACAAAGGCAAATACACAGTTACCTTGGACCAATACTAAATGTTCTGCTTAGTATGTTGCTAGGATAGGCTTCCATTTCGTGAAGGAAAACATATGCAGATGCACCAAAAATATTTTGATAGAGACATACAAAGAAATTTTTAAATTATTTAAAGTATATTGGATCTCTTATATCAAATGCCACGTTAGTAGAATTCTTACATCCAGCTATCAAAAATTGAAAATGTTAAATACTATTATAAAATACTTACTATAAAAGTGTCATATATAATATTCATTACACATAAAAAAAGAAATCAGTATGTCTAAGTCAGTTTAATCACAACCATTATGAGGGCTAAAACCTTTTGCAATAAAATCCTAGTAAAATAAAATATTTAGCAGTGCTATATTTTCTCCTTTTTTTTTTCCTGCTTTTTCAGTCATCACATAAATGATGAGATTTTTTTTCTGGTCAGTAGTTAACACAGAATGGGACGTCTGACAAATGGCATAGAGTTGTTACTTAACCTTTGCATAGTGACATCCAAACTTAGTTCGCGTATCGAGGAGCAATATGGATTTGTTCAAACATGCTTAGTGTTCCTCATTGCCTGTGTAAATCCATGCATGTCACCGGACATACATTGGCTTTCCTCTGTGGAGCATCTGGCCATATACGAACTGAAAAGATTTGATAAAAACATAGACCCAGCCTTAAATACTGCATGAATTAATTCTTAACTGCCAGCATCACTTTGCTTTCATCCTAGTGCTAGTGTTGCTTTGTATTATGATCTGTCTACCTAGAAATTAAAGCTGAAGGATTTTCTTGATGGTGTCATTCCCATTTCAGCTGGAGAAGTTCGGCAAAGCAGTGAATTATGCTGATGCTGCCCTCTCCTTCATCGAGTGTGGGAACGCTATGGAGCGAGATCCATTAGAAGCTAAATCTCCTTACACCATGTACTCAGAGACTGTGGAACTCATCAGGTTAATGTCCTTTCTGTGATCATTTTCATAATCTCATTTCAGTCATAATTAGAACCTGCTATGTTTTAAAAAATACCATTTCAACGTATTAATGATTTGTCCAAGGCATCTTCATCTCAGAAGTCATCATAATTAGTTCTTGCCATTTTATTAATGTCATGGAAAATTTATAATTGATGGACACTGCTTTTATAAATTATCCCCTTTAGAGGTTATAATGTGAGTGTTATAATTTGCAATATTCATAAAATTAAAATTGAAATGTAGTGGGTGGAAGTAAAGTATAGTAATTTCACTGTTTGGCAATGACACTTGTCTTTTAAAAGGTGTAGTTTTATAATTCAAAACATTAAAGTGAGTCTATCAGGATTTCTATTACAAACCCTGGTTTTAGAGGTTTATAACTTGGCTGTTAAAAAAAAAAAAAAAGGCAGAAACTTGGCACATAAGATCACGCAGCCAGAGAGGAAGCTTTCTGCATGTATTGTATTAAAAAAGTATATTTTTAATGTTAACGGAATGTGAACCAGCTGAATTAGTTTTAATAGTCTTGTAGACTTGTAGGCTAGAACATGGATGAGAGAGTCTTTACTTACTAATAAATGCCTGAATTATTATTTTAAAATCTGCTGCTGTTCCCTGTAGCTTTTTCATAGTGTTGCTCCATAGAAATAATGGTCTCCTGAGTAACTAAGGGCTTGTTTGCTTTACTTGCGCAAATTATCAAAGTGAAATCAAGCAGGATTAAATTTACCTGTAAATAGAACAACTGGATTTTTCCTCTTCGCTGTGATGCACCTTTGCTTTCCCTGGTGTATGCTGGGAATATCACCATTAATGTCAGTGTAATTACTGGCAGTATACACAAGAGAAAGAAAGGGAGGCAAATCAGGCCCTAAATGTTTGGGGTTTAATATGACAAAGGTGGGGTTTTTTAACATGCAGGATTTTAACATGCCAGATTAGCTATTAAGGACTGCCAAAAATAATGCATGTTGTACATTTTGAATAAGTAGGTATTTACATAATAAAATGTATCAAATCTTAAGAAGCTCTTACTCTCAGGTAAATAATATGCCTGTTAAATATTTGAAGACATATTTTTACATTATGCACTTCATAAGGAGAAAAAGGAAATCTAAAGGGGTCACTCAACAAAAAAATGATGTTCACTCAACAGTTAACGACCCAAGTTAAACCCTCAAGAGCAGGGGACTTAAGAAGAGGAGCCAACTGCCGCTCCACTGTGCTGAAACTCTTCCTGCACTCTGACAGCGCACAGATCAGTACTTTGTGTCCTGAACTACTCAACTACAGCTGTATGGCAGGATAAATTGCATTTAAAGAAATATTATTTTAAAAAGTGAGCGCTTCTTCATAGGAGCCTGCATTTATTTTTATTTTTAAGAAAAACACACGGCACAGTTGCAAATGTTGTTCCTCAGTCCGGTAGTCTGTCCGTTCAGAAGCAGATGGACCAAAGATCTTCATTCATTCAAGAGCCACAACACGTGCACCACTTCACTCAGAGGGTGGCAGCTCTAGGAGTAGCTCACAAAGGGCTGATACCTGCAGCTCCCCTCCACCAAAGGTAGAGCTTAATGTACCAACTCTTGTATGCAGCATCTTGTAGGCGGCCAGAGAGAGACTGATTTGCCCATTTAATCGCTGTCAGTGGGCAGATATGGAAAAATGGTGATTTCCCAGGTGAGCAGCAGGTTGGTACAGATTCAGTGAACTCCGTGGACAAATACACAATTCTTGTGGGCTCCGCTGGGTGCTGAATGTACAAACCAAGTATGGGACTGTGCACACACACTTTCTCAATATGGCTTCTAATGTTAATGTAGATTTTTACTGTGAGATAAGAAATAGAGGGAGATTTTTCTCACTTTTACTCCTCTGTTCATCAGAGGCACCATTTTCCCCTTTAGCATTAGCTGTGCCTGCCCTGAGTATTTGCCTCAGACACCTATTCGTGAAAGCAAGTGGAGCATCAAAGAGACTGGGGATATCCAATCTGACTGTCAAAGGTGTTTTAAGTTAACAGTAATGCTAAAATCCCTAACTTAACACTGAATATCCCAGAGAGACTTATGTCTTGGTGTTTGATCACATTCATTCAGTATGACTGGAACAGCAATAGCGAAGAGCAGGTGAGATAGGACACGGAGGAACCACATCAGGTGGTGTGCTACAGCTGCACGCTGGGGGCTGATGATGCGGGTGGTGGGAGGAAGGCAGAGCGAGAGCCGTACAGCCTCCCTGCACTCCATTACCTCCTTGTAAATGAGAACTCATCAAGACTGCCTGGATACCTTAAAACTTTCTTACGCAACGCTGAACTCTATTACTTATTCTAACACAAGTACCTGTGAAATTGCATTAGGGCTCAGAACAATGATTTTATGCGATGAATTGATTTTCAAGAGACTAAATGCATGGAATGGAGTGTGCTCAGTTAAAGGAAAAAAAAAAAGAGAGGAGGTAGGAATAGTCAGTCTTTGATCATCCAAATGTTGGACAGCAGCAATTAAATAGAGAGGGAAGACCAAGTACACAAGGCTCATAAATTAATGGACCCAAGAATTAAAAAAGCTGTGAACGTGACCTTTCCTTTATTTAAAACCGTTTTCTATATACAATACATTAAAATCTTTGAAGAAGCATTTATGAGAAGGATTTTGAAGGTATTATTCAAGCCCAAAGTATTATATGAAAAACCTTACTATGTATTACTCTACTCTTCAGTACATATAGGGCCAAGATCTTATGCTTCTGCCCAATGCTCATCACAAATGTTTGCAGGACTCAGCCTAGATGGCTGGATATAATCCCATTAATATGCCCAAGAACAGTTTAACTCGTTGGCCCAGAAAATGGATTGGTGATTTACTTTAGCCCTCTAGATTTAAGTGGTGCTTTCTGTTGTATTTTACATTGATCTCATCTTTATAGAACAATTTGACCATTAACTATTGCAGTTGGAGAAGAATATTTATGTGTGGCAGTTATTTTTCAGAGTGTCACTAGTTTTCCTGGAAACATCTTAACTGTCAATATCTTCTCTCCTCACCTTTCTGACAAGGTATGCAATGAGACTCAAGAATTTCACAGGCTCTTCTGCCACAGAAGGGGACAAGAAATTAGCAGTTTTATGGTAAGTCCCATTGTGACAATGAGAGAAGCAGCTAAAATCTTAAGGAGGACTTTAAAAGTACTGAATTACTTAAGCAGCTTACAGAAGATCATTATTCTTGTTTTCCATTAAACTATTAAAGGATAACTAATGGATTTCTTCAGCAGCTGACTAAACATTTATTCTTCTAATTTATACTCTTATCAAGATGGGATTTTAATGCTTTTGACCACTTTTTTTTCTTTCTCCATTTGCTTGTTTCAAAATCTAACCTTAGAACAGAAACTGCAAAATATAGGTCAGCTTTTTTTTTTTTTTTTACAGTTTATAGGTTTCATTAAGCAGTGGAATTAACATAATCCTTTCCTAATTACCGCAGCTACCGATGCTTATCACTTCTCTACTTGAGAATGTTTAAACTAAAGAAGGACCATGCTATGAAGTACTCCAGATCTCTGATGGAATATTTTAAGGTAATCTTTATTCTGTTTAATTTATTGATATGAAATGAAATTCATACCAGCACTGAGAGCTCTCACAAGTACAACTGTGTGACTTCAAAGTCCCACATGTAACCTCTCCCCTGGGAAATGGAGGCAGGATGGCTGCCAGGGAGTGGGGACAGAAGTGATTTGGGGGATTTTTGGATTAGTCGCCTGATTCAAAGGACCATATTCGGTAATTCTGCTAAAATAACATTATTCTCAACACCATGTAATGTTTATGCAAGTTTCTGTAAAGGAAACTGTTTCTTTCAAGATTTCAATGTGCAAGTGATTATGAACTGACCCCCAATGAACCATAATAAAGCAATTATTTTGGCTTTAGTTAGTTCAACTTAGATTTTAAATTCAGCGAGATTTGCTGAAGCTTATTGAAGACTCAGAGATTTCTCCTTTTATTGCTGTGGAACTTCCAATTGCCTTTACCTTGAATCGAGTGCAGATCAGCTGATTGTCATGACTCGGTGATGTTTTCCTTTACCTTGTCAAATGCTGTTTACCTGGTGTAAGAATGATGAGTCCGCACCGTTCCTAAATTAAGAGCAAAACAGAATCTTTCTTCAGCTCTGCCAAGGTTTTGATATTTATATCTTGCTGGTTAATGCTGTTTGAAGCGTATATTAATTCTTGTACTTTATTACTACATATTATTCTATAATTATGTAATTATACTGGTTTGTCAGCCCATCAGTCTTTTTTTGTTGTTTTTTTTCAGCCTCTGTGAATTTGTTCCAGGCTTTGACATATTAGTATTGCAAACCAGTAAAGCTTTTAACACTGCAGTTTTAATATTGTCATGTAAATGGTGATAAAATGGTCATTCTGCTGTAAAACTCCAGTACTATCATGCTGGCAGCCACCACTTAGTCCTGACTTCCCTGGTGTCCTCTGTGTGTGTGTACCTCTGTAACTTCAGTAATGTTACTCCCGATCTTCTGCTTAAATTGAGGCTTTCTTGAAATCGTTAGGAGTGCCTCTGTTCTACTCATGGAGTTTTCAGTCAGGGATTTGCACGACAAATTAAATTTGAACCAGACACATGTATAGCCTCAGCATTTTCTTGAAATGTATTCCGTCCACTTCAGATTTTATCCAGGATGAATGTAAATTGCCTCTTAAAAAAAGCTTATTAGACAAATCACTTGATAAACTTTTTCTGCAGAAAGCAGTGATTTCTTAGAGAAAAAGATGGGAGCAGGGGGATTCTCTGTTCCTTTAAAGCCACTTTCCTTTCTCTAGCTGTGCAAATAAGTACAATGAAGAAAATATTAGTGCGCCCAGCATAAGACCATTTTACTGCATCCGCACAGAGAAAATGTCTTTTAATGTAAATGAAAATAAGGGGGAAAAAAAATGGAAAATGTAACAAAATAGATGAATCGGGAATGCTGGGTTTAGGCATCTGGTTGAAGCTGAGTGTTTCAGCTAATGTTACTGTGTGTATGCTATGGGCGCTGTGACTCATTTGCTAGAAGTAGTGTTTGAGTGTACACAGATTATACGTTCAGGATCTCTTTGTGGTAAAGGCATAGGAGGAGAAAAGCAAAGAATGGGAGCTACTAACTACGCATTAGTTTTGTATTGCTGCACAATGTCCTCTGTGTTCGCTGTAATACAAATGAAATGGATTAACTATTTGAATAGAGTTGTTATTCAAAATTTTGCACAATTTTAACTGTGAAAAGCAGCCCACTGTTTACAGCAGAGCTGGAGAGGAATTTTTTGGCGGAATTGTTTTCACATTTTTCCTCACAAATGCCACTTTGTCCAAATTGAAACCATTTGTGGACAGAACTGGTTCTGATTAACTTCCAATTAAAAGTTTCAAATTGATATTTTTGACATTTCAAAACAGAAAATAAGCATTTAATCATAAAAGAAGTTTTGAAATTTAGAGACAACTTGGAGGAAAATATAGCTAAAATGATAAATTTTTAAAATTGAAATCAAACTTTTTTAGATTAGCAAAAGAGGCATCCTTTCATGCATTTCACCTAAATGTTTTAAGAAGATTTTTATGTTTTTGAAAATATGTTGTCAATGGTCATTGGCAAAAAGATTTCAAATATTTTCATTGTCAAATAACTACCTCAATTGAGATCTAGTCTTGATCTTGACAGATCTAGTATTTGTCTCCTGATACTGTCAGGAACAATCCTCAGACAGCAGAAACTTAACATCAAAGCTGCTTGTTCATCCCTGAAGACTTTCCAGGGGACCTTAGGATCTCCCTCTTCTTACATATGAGTGGGTGGCAAAAATATACACTACATATGCTCTCTACTGCAAAACACTCCATTTCATGCTCACGTCTTCGATGAAACACAGTGGCATGCTGTATAGGAACATGCAGGCAAGGCCAGTATCACGGTTTGGGCAGTGGTTTCTGCTTTGGTCGATACTGTTTGGCAAGTTTAGCTGTTTTTTAGAAGTCAAGGGTAGGATTTTGCTCCCAGAGTCAGCTGCGTGACCTTGGGCCATGCCCTGGGCTGCTCTGTGCTCCACTGAATCTCACATCCAAAATAGCGATTGCAGTAACCAGACGAATCGTGTAACAATGACAGTAATGCTTTGCAGAGAACTTGTAAAATTTGATTGAATTGTCACTGGGCATGCTGACTTCTTTGCAAGGGAGCTCAGAGTGATTGTTTTCAGACAGCACACGGATAGCTTCAGCCCTGATACTACCACTTTTTATGGGAACTAAGTAAGATACCACCTAGTCTGAGCAAGACTGGAAAAATCTGGGCTTTATTATTGCTGGGCAGTCTTTTTGTACAGCGTTGTACAAGGTGCTACACAGACATGTAAGGCAGAATGAGTGAGCAGGTAAGGAAAGTCAGTTCATGCAAATAAAATACATAAAAACAAAGGCATTCAAGCAGATCCTTACTAGAAGTTTCATTTCTGCTACTGTCTGAATCCCAAGCCACCTCCCTTTGCAACTCGGGAGGGATTAATTTCATTAGGGCATCAACCCAAATTCATTTTGTTTCTTGTTAAAAGATTCCAGGTCCCCCTAAAGATAAGTCATTTGTGCTCTGGAGAACTTACTTTGTAGAATAAGTTTCAGTGGTAGTTAAACCAATTCTTTGTGAACTACATCTGCTTTTACTGGAACTTTACTGTATTTTCTCTTTCATCAAGTGACTTTCAAGCTGCTGGTTGGAACCTACCAGTGATCCACCAGCTGTTTAATTATGGGACTGGTGTACAGAGGTGTTCTGCTACATGCACTGTAGCTCTTGCAACAAAAACAGGGAGTGTTGAGCCATGTGTCATCAGTATTCATGTACTTGTGTCACTTCTATTTATATTTTGGTTTTGTACTTACAGAACTCTTCAAAAGCCTCACAGGCCCCCTCACCTTGGGGCGGCAATGGAAAGTGAGTATTTTCTGCTGAGTACTTCTGTGTGGGAACAAATGGTTCCAAGAGGGGGGGAAATGTTTTGGTGCCTCTAAAGGCAAAGGACAGGCCATGACTTAGTGGTTTGGGAACTACAGGTATGTTTTCAAGCAGGTAGAAAATGTTTTTCTCTGCTACAGAATTGATCTTACAACCATGGGCTTGTGGGGTTGAGGGGCTCCCACTGGGCTAAATCAGGTACCCATGTGAGCCATCCAGCGTGGGTGGGAAGGAAGAGCTGAAACACACCTTCATCTTTGTGCAAAGCCTCCTTTACGTCTAAAATCAGCCATGATGGGTCTGTGCTGAATTCTTGACAGTTTGCTTCTCAAGCCAAGTGAAGGCCATAAAAATATCTGTTAATTAGCTAGCGAGTACCATGTCATTTCAGGAAGCCAAAGTAAAGTTAACCTTCATTGCAATGATTTTTCAATGATTCGTTCAGTAATGAAAGACCAATGAATATTTCATTGATATATGGTAAGTGCTGTTTAATAAAACTGAAGGTGTAATAGTGGTGAAAATGTGAAGGCACTTAGTCAACCAATTATCAGTGGCTTTGTACTCAGTTAAAACACCCTCACCTCAGATATGAAGTCAGGGTAATGCAAGTTATGATCCGCTGTTCAATGAAGGTGCGTTACTGCTGCAAACTTGCCTTTATCTTGCCATGTCTATTGCCACCTGTTACACATTTCTCCTGCTCCTTTCTCCTGGCCACGCATACAGGTACAGGTAAAACAATGGAGAAAGGCTTTATCTTTCTTTCCTTCTTTATTGGAGTAGGCTGAATACTAGGTGGAAATTATTATTGTCAATGGTCTCTTTCTAGTGGTTCATAAGAAGAAACGACTATTAGACACTCCAAAGAAACAAAGTAATAAAGCTGTAGAAGGGGTTGAAGTTCAGCACACAAAGAGCTGAAGTTTTCAAACAGACTTTGTTCTGAATCAGTGCAAAACCAAAAATTTCAACACTTTGCTTAAAGGAAAATATTGTCTTAGATAATTCAATATTTAAGTATAGATTATGACACAAACTAAAGTCATGAAATAGAAAATCACTTTAAATAAAAAATGAAAAGACATTTTAACATTGGAAAAGCAACTACTAAATCAAATTATTTGATATGTGCCGATTTTTCAAGGCATTTAGGTCAGTGAAACCTTGTGTTGCAATAAAAATACAGCAAGGTTTACATGAAGTTTTAGTGCTGAAATAGACGACTGAAGCATTACACCTCTCTTGTTCCTTAAGAAGTGGCTTATACCTAAAAATTTCATGAGGTGGAAGTTATTCTTTTATTCCTGTCCTATAATAGACCCCTATGAAGTGTGTGCTCTGCAGGTGATGACATCTCCCTTGCTATTTAAAGGAGTTGATTAGGTGCCCCGGATTTAGAATCAGTGGGTTTTCACTGGAGGAGAAAATTCTTGTCTGGCCACAACACAGGCAGCAGAAACCCAGCATTCGGGTCAGCATCACTTCTAACATAACACCCAGCTGATCGGTTTCTTCCCACTAACTTTGGAGATAAGTAAGTAAAGCTCTGAAAGTGCACAGCTCTTTTATTCAGAGAAGGAAGCACTTGACATGTAAGAATAAGTGAATATGACAAGGCCGTGTTGTAATGGGGTTATTATCACACCTGTGACCCAACACACAAAGACCACAGTCCACACTCAAGTCTTCTGTCCCCTATGTCTGGAGTCTCAGAAGAAAAGCTCTCCAGCTGGCTCAGAGTTGCCGTGTATCTCAGGTGTCCCCAAGGATTGTCAGGGACCTGGTGCTGCCACTGCCAGCATGTGCTCTGCCTTCCCCAGGGCTGCTCACTCTACAGTTTACTCTTATTCCCCTGCAAATTTGTACCAGCTGGGAAGAGAAGTTGCACACCACAGAGGAGAGACCAAGCATGGCACCACTGGAGGTGGATCAACAGCCTGGTTCAGAATGGGGAGACAGCAGGGTATTCTTAAATCTTTTTTTGAACAAAACAAAACTTACCTATTGCCATAAAGTGTAGTCTGCTCAGGATCTCAAACCTTCAAAAATCTCAGCTTGCCTTACTGGAATTTTTGGCCACTGTTATTTGAAAGGGTTGTGAACCTCTACAAAGTTGGCCTGAGTTCCAGGCTGGCAATGAAACAAATTTTCCCTGGTTTCATTACAGAAATGTTTCCCACCTCTAGCGACAGAAAGCACAAAATAGAGAGATTTAATAGACTCACCACAGTAATAATGGCTGTGCACAACAGGGTAAATCCAATGAACAATGTGCTTTATTTGGCAGAAGTGCGTCAGCTTGTTGTAAGTGGCTCTAACAAAATACTCCTGGTCTCCTCAGATACTTACGATTTTTAACTGCTCCCAGACCTAATCTAGTATAGTTCAGCTCTTCTGTGCATTAAAGACGCTGTGGCGTGTCAAGTAACCAGGATGTTTTGAGACTTGACAATAAAACGTTTGTGCCATAGGATATGCTTAAACTATAACACCTAAGCTGTGTAAAAAGCTGCTAGCTGCTGAATTAACGTGGTCTCTAGCTCTGGAAAAAGAATGTATCGCAGGAGCCTGTTGTTGAGCGCAGGTAATGGCAAGGCACTGCTGGAAAATCTGCAGCAAAAGCTGTTGCCAGAATTGCCTTTCAGCCCAAGGCTGTGCCATGGTGGCAGTCTGTTCTGCAGCACCTGCAAGGTATCAGCACAGTGGGTCTGTGCCCACGCTCTGTGTTCAGGACCGTTGATGGTGGCTTGTACAGCCAAGAGAAGGAGCCTTTCTGTCCTGGGGTTTGGGTCAGGCCCATCATGAGTCTGAGTGAGCTTGATGCTGTTGCGCAGCGTGAGGCATCAGTGGCCGCCTGTCAAGAGAGGGGTTGCAACATCCCCATCCGAAGAGTTTTGGTGTCTTTGCTTCACGCAGAGAGCGCCGGGAGCATCTTGGCCCTGCATTTCAAGTGTGTTCCGCAGCAAATCGAATGCATTTGTTTAGGTAAGTGGTTCCAAATGGAGGCAAGAGAAGAGATTTTTGGAACCCTTAATCTTGTTCACTGAAACAAATTTTCAAAGAGAATAGCTGTGTGTGAGCGTTAGGTGCTTGCACAGCTCTAAACATGAGCTTGCTGTGCTGACCTCCGCGCTGCCTGCAGCCAGCAGGTGATGCCTAATTGCTGGTGTTAGAATTAAAGGAAAATCTATATTGGAACATTAGTGCTGCACCAAGTAGGTAACTTAAAACACTGCTCTGTACAAAACTGCGTGGATGAACTGTAGGCAATTAGAAACAAATCTCCATGCCAGTCTTAAAGAATCCTATAGAGATATTCATAATCCTACAGTACCCTCAGCTCCTAATACCGCTCTGCAGGGTGCTTTTAAGACTTGCACTTTACTTATTGTGGTGACTGTATTTGGAGCAAACTGTCATTGTGGTTTCCACAAAATGCTTTGATAATAAGCCAATATTGCACATTGAGTGTTTTCTAACTGCCGTTTCAGCTTCTGGCAGCAGGTAGAAAAATCATTACAGCTATGAGATACTTCTTTCTCTGAAAGACTGCTCTATTTTTATGATAGATTTTTTTATTTTTTTAAGTAACGGGTTCATTTGTAGAGAGAATTAAATCCCTTTTTATTTTCAGTCACTCCCAGTTTATAAGCTCTCCTTTCTCATAAAACCAGGAGATACTACTGCACATTCTCCCCTGACCGGGGTGCAGAGTTAATTTTTCCAGTGCATCTAGGATGGCAATGATGTGGTGTGTGTAAGGGAACTCACTCTTCCTTTACCTCTCACAGGAGCACAGAAACACCATCGCCCATGTCCCTGAGCCCGTCCCCTGTCAGCTCTGCTGGAAGCAGCGCGGGCACCACCGGCTCCTCCTTGGCGGGGACCATCACCATCCCTCAGCGCATCCACCACATGGCTGCCAGCCACGTCAACATCACCAACAACGTGCTGCGGAGCTACGAGCACTGGGACATGGCTGACAAGCTGACTAAGGAGAACAAAGGTGCCCCACTCGGTTTCTTCCTTGTCCCCTTTGGCTCATCAGCTTTAGCTTTCTTTCTGTTCTCGTAGGCGTTGTTGGGAATTGGACCCAGAACCATCGCATCTAGGAGCACAACTGTGACAGCTTGAGCAAGCAGACCAAATCTGCTTGCTGGTCACTGTAGCCAATGCCTATCTTCTCTTGTCAAGCACAGAGGGGGGATGTGTAACACACGCTGAACATGGGGTTATCAGAGCAGCTGGCAAATAATTTAGCGAACATGAGCCCCAAGTGATGAGAGCTTTTGAATCTGCAAATTCGTTCACAGTTTCAGCTTCTCATAGAGCACTGAGGTTATTTTCATACTGCTCTGTCAACCGGTTTAAGACTATTAAAATGCTAGCTAGGATAATAAGCAAACATTAGATTTTATGTTTATGCAGGGAGTCCGATTAGGAGATGTCCACTGAAAGCCATGACCTTGACTTTCCTATGGTTGGATTGCAAATCTGCTTGTTTATTCCTAACAACAAAATGTAAGTCTTTACTACAGTTGTTTAAAGGAGTTTTGGCAAGCAGTTTGTGACTGGGTTATATCGAGTCTAGCAGAGTCGCTGAGATGTAACTAAAAGACAAATTTGGCCCATTGTTGGCCAGCCATGAACTTCCCTGTGATAATGTAATTATTCAGATTCCAGCTTCGGGCTTACACAAATCATTGACAAAGCTTTCTTTGACACTAGAGATGCAGAGCCTAACTGGGAAATAGTTCTCATCGTGAATTGGCTCATTCTCTTAAATTATACTGAGATTTCAGATGGCTGACTTTTCCTGACAAATGTGCTCGCTGTATGCAGTTTGATCTTACTCCCCTTAATGTCAGTGGCAAATTTCCACTGATTTAGAGAAACTAAGCTTGAGATTTATAGAGTTTTATGTCTGAATGGTAGGTCGTAATGATCTATCCCTGGATGAGGAACAATAATAGAAGTTCT